TCAATGTGAAGTCGTCGCCTACAGTTCGCGCGTTGGCTCTGGCGAAAACATCCCGAGAAGCGCGCTCGGAGGAATCGCGGAGCGAACCGCTCGCGAATTCGCGCGCGCGCGCGCGCGCACACACACACACACACACACACACACAGGCGCGGTGGGTGCATCGAGATACGATGAAAAGTTTACGTGTATCCGCCGCGGAAAGTCCAACATACCTGACGTGCCTCTTTCTACTTCTCTATCTCTCCGGCCGTGCAGCGCGGAGAATGGCGAAGTATGAAAAATGTGAAGAAAGGAGGAAGTGCTCGAGGAGTGAAAGGCGAGATTGGGCCGTTTAAACGCCGAAGATTATCATGCCCGGCCGGGGCCGGTCGATTGACGAGCGCGTCACGTTCCGAATTGAACGCGCTCCTTCCTATTGTGAGCGAAGGAAGGAGATAGAAGGAGAGAGCGAGAGAGAGAGAGACATCGATCGCGAGGAATCGCAGGGAAATCAGCGGCGAATCGTCGCGGCGATATAAGCTGATAAGGGAGAAAAAGTGCCATCGCGGACGCTGCCGAAAGGCGGAAATTCGGAGCGATCGGGTGGTGAAAGGAGTCCACGAGCGCTCGATGCTATATAATGCGCGTTTAACGTACACGTACACGCACACGGAAACCGCCGATGCATAGGCGTGTTACGAGTCTCGCCGTGCGATATCTGCCACCGGAAATTCGGGTGAGATGCAGGGTCAAGAAAACGTCAGGAATGCATCGTAAGTACGATGCCGGGAGGAGATTCACGAAGAAAGGAGGAAGTGCCGGGAGAGTGAAAGGCGGGGATCGCAGAATTTCAACGGCCAGAGAGCGAGAGAAAGAGAGAAAGAAAAAGAGATTATAAACGCGAGCTCGACGCACGTGCACGTCGTATCTCTCGTCGCGCGCACGTAACACTCGTCGCTATCTCATATCGCACTTTAATAGGAATGGTAATACGGAGCGACCGGAATAATAAGCCGGTTCCGAGCGCGATGCGTTCGTTCGCTCGCTCTCGCCACAAAACGCCGACTTCGAAAGACAAATATATATAATATAGCTTCGCGTGTATTTATCTGGACGTGTCGCGATACAACGCGAAACTCGACGCGATGTCGAGAGAGCGGCGCATTTGCATCCATTCAATAGTTAACGAACGACGCATGCTCGATAAAAGAGCAGGCCATCTCGGGCCGCGAGCCGCGATTAAACGCCGATATCTCAGTGTTACGCAATACGTTTGTTTCAACGTCAACAATGTCATACGCGATGAAATTATCGCGGCGCGATCGCGCCGCGCGACGTATTTGCGGAGGGAATCAACGTACCTCTGGGTATTTATTATTTTGTTACGATAACGAGCGTGTGTCGATCGACGCTGATCACCGCGCGCTGAAAATTGCGTCTGCTGTTGCGGCGTTCGCGCGATGATAATTAACAACGATAAAAAGAGAGAAAATAAGTATCCCACGGATACGCGACAGGATTTTCCTCGCGAAATCTCCACCGAACATATTCCATCGAATGTTCGTCAACAGAGACAAAAGTGATAACAGAAGGGGGGGGGAGAGGAGGAAGACAAGAGAAACGATGGAAAGTCAACAATAAAACGTCCGCCGGCGGCGGGGAAAATTAATTAAGGTGTTCAAGCTGATCGCGCAGAGACGAGTGTTTATCGTGCGATAATATCGACCGCTAATAATAGCGCGGAGGATTTTCATCCTCGATGCGGGGAGAGGAAGAGGATTTTCCCGATGCTGCGGCGCTCTCCCGAGAGAGAGAGAGAGAGAGAGAGAGAGAGAGAGAGAAAGAGAACTGTCCGCCATCGCATATCTCTCACGGCGTGTCGCGCGCGACGTACGCGTGAACGTGTCACTTGAATTAAACGAGCTTTCGTTCTTGCGCGCGAAACAACCTGTTGACTACGTAATCAACGACGTGTGTGACGTGCCATGTGCGTGCGTGCGCGTTATATTTGCACATCGCACGCTGTATCGTGCGCGCGCGCGCGCGCGCGCGCGTCTATAAGGTCTTGACAAATCTGCTTAAGATTCCCGCGGCACCTCCCTCAAACAGCTGACATAAATCGACACAATGTTATCTATCTCCGTGCAAACACTGTTAAAACGATTAAGAGGAGATCGCCAAGGGGGAGGGGGATGGGGTGGAGGCACGATGGGACGTGAATGCGCGTTGAAGAAATACTGCGCGACTCCGTCTGGCGCAACGATTCGCCTCGCGAGAGCGAGGGCGCGAATTATTCCACTCTCGCGCCATTTCATTGGCATCTGTTGTGAAAAAAGAAGAAAAAAGGAGAGAGAGAGAGAGAGAGAGAGAAAAAAGCGAAAAGAAACGAAAAAGAAGCCCGAGCTCGTTGCGACCAAGTTACGCGCGGTATTTTTAGACCCGACGGCTGCCTTCACGACGGCGACGTCGACGTCGACGATGTGATATATACTTTCCCGAGTGACGATGGTGAATCAGCCCGACCCCGTAAACGCGCTCTCCCGTTCGATCACGCTCATTGCGGCGCATCCGAGTGCGCCAATTGCGAAGTATGAAGCGAAAAACGGCGGTCGATTTCGCGAGCTCGTAAATTGTCGTCGTCGTCGTCGTCGACTAACAAAACGCGTCGCAGTAAGCCGTCGCGCGCTTACCTTTGCCTTCCTTCGTTCTTTCGTTCGTTCGTTCGTACGGAAGAGAGAGAGAGAGAGAGAGAGAGAGAGAGAGAGAGAGAGAGAGAGAGAGAGAGAGAGAGAGAGAGAGGAGCACATTCTGCGCAAGCGGAAACGGCGCACACAATGTAATTTAATCCGCGCACAAATGTCAAGTTTGCAGGCCCCGGCTTGTTTGCGAACTTATCATTAGTCGTAATTTTATCCGGACGATTAGACATTAATCAGACGCAGAATTTCCCGTCTGAGAAAAATCGCGCTCGTCCGTCTTGCACAGTCTCGTGATCTGTGCGTGCGCACAACGGCGCTGTCCTTCTGTCCGATAAATCGTCAAAAGTTTTTTCGCCTGCTTCCCCCCTCCCTCCGCGCGCCGCCGCCATCCGTCAAGAGCCTCGCGCGCGTTCTCTCTCGCTCAGCCGGATGTCGCTCGCCGCGCGACGAGGAGTTATTGATGAAATTGCGGCCTTCATTATGTCGTAAACATGTCGCAGAGATACACGCTTAGATATGTATCGCAGGTGGATGGTGGATAATCGGCGGGAGAAAGAGAGATCGTTCACGTTTTTTTCGTGCGAAAATAAATCGAACGATCATGAGGCGAACGCCTCCCCTCCTCCTCCTCCTCCTCCTCCTCCTCTTAGCCGCGGCGACTTGCCGTCGCCGCCACCACCAACTCCGCCGCCGCTTGCGTAATCGCACGATACTCTCTCGCGTTACGGCGTAATAATTGTTTCACCATTGCCGCGGGAATGCTCGTTAAAAGGCACGGTAAACAAGTCGCGGCGAGAGCGCGGATCTAATGCACCGCCTCGTGCGATCGCACGTAACGTACGCATTAACGAACGTAGTTTGTCGGCGATCCGCCGATTCGTTACGAGAGCCGAGAGATACACGTCCCGACCTTGACTAATCTATTCCCGCGAAACGGTCGATTCCTCGGAATACATGTGTACACACAGTGACATAACACACGCGAGCACGTCACAATTACAATTCAATTTTCCTAGCCCACGTTGTAACGAACGTCGCCGGCCTGCCTGCCTGCCTCGTCAACGCGCGAATTTAAACGGTAGCTCTCTCTCGGGATCGTCAAGTCGCGTTTTATTACGAACGATGAGATGACGCACCGCAATTTCGAGACGGTCCGTCGAGCACGAGGGAGGAGGCAGGCACTTTGTGCGTTCCGCGCCGCGGCTTCATTTGTCGCTTTGGCGCATCGGTTACTTCCAAGGATTCGGAAAAGTTTGCCGCGGACGCCGTCGCGTCGGTTGCTTCCACTTACAAAGTGAGAACAAACTCTGCAAGCAATATCTGACAATTATCTCGGGAAATGGCAACTTTGCGCGCAATGTAGAATGAACGCTCATCAGCTGACGAGTCGGTGAGTCGCCGCTGAATTCGCTTATGTAAAGTCGTACAAGTGCGCCCCCCCCCTTCCCCCAAGTGGATCGCTCTTGCGGTTTTCGATAATTAGAGAACCATCGGAGAGAGGAGAGGGGGGGCGGGAAGAAAGATAGAGAGGAAGAGGGAGAGAGAGAGAGAGAGAGACCACCGCTTACCGCAACAAATGATTTCCGATTCGCGGAAATAATCGCCGCTTGATAATCCTCTACGATCCAATCCCGATATCTTTTTTTTTCTTCGTCAGTATTCACCTCGAGTAATTGCACACACGTCGCGCAAGACTGACAGTCTCCGAGAATTCGAACGTCGCGGAAACGGACGTCGGCGGCGCTCGCTGCGCGCGACGAGTTCGAGTTTCGAGTTGTGCGAGGAGTCCGCGGCGGAGCGCCGCGTTTCCTCCCGTCGAGCGGCCGTTCGCCGGTGCATTTACCCGGGTTGCCGGTGTTTTCGCGAGGGTGCGTCGACACCGCGCGCGGGCGCGCGTCCGGCGAAAAATTCCGCCCCGAGACGAAAGGCGAAAGGCAACGAAGATTCGGGAAAGGTCGCGCTCGCGCGCGCGTGCGCGTGCGCGCCATTCGCCCGAGTTCTAGAAGGAATGCGAATGTCCGCGAGAGAATGCACGCCGGCCGTTCGCGAGAAACAGCCTCTCTCGTCGTCGCCTCGAGGAAGCCCGGCGACTCCCGGAGGACGCTCCCGGCTGCGCGTTCGCTCATTTCGCCGCGGTCGCGGCTCGAGCCGAAATCGCGTCCCTCGACTACTCGACTCGCGACACGTCTCTCCCTCTCCCTCTCTCTCTCTCTCTCTCGCCAACCTGCCGCGGATTTCCCCGGCTGACCGCGAGGATCGCGGGACGAAGGGCTAACATATGGCCGCTCGTGCTTCGTGCGCTTTTCTCATGTCGGTACTTACAAAGTGTACAAGCCTTCTCCCTCCTGTCGTTGTCGGGACACTAGGCTACGGCACGTTTCACTAATCTTCCGAGAAGCCGCAGTCTAACGCTCGTGTATGGGTGCGCATAGGTTTGTGTATGTGTTACATGTATATCCGGTCCGCGACAAAGTCCAGCCGATGTCGTGAGAGCGCCGCGCGATGCGCGACCCCGTCCGTCGTCTCCTCTCTTGGTCGCAAGTAGCCGCCGCGCGCACCGTCGTCGTTCGCTCCCGCTCTCTGAGGCCCGGCACTTGGAGCACGTGCTGCTTTTGGTGCCTCGGTGTCAACGTACGCAAACGCTGAGAGGACGAGAGATCGCCGCGGACGCGATGTTACTTGTCGCGTCCCAGACGGTTATACGCCGCGCGATTCGTACTCGCGAGAGAATCGCGGGACCGGCGCGCGGCTTCTTCTCGAACGACACTGTCGTGAAGCTTGCTTAGAGCGTTGCGCGCGCGCGCGCGCGCGCACGATCAGCGAGCGAGAGAGAAAGAGAAGGAGAGATAGATAGAGTCCGAACACCGTGAACTTGGCGATATTCGCGCGCGTCCGTGCGTCTCGCCGCCCGTCTCTGCGTTCATACGACGACGGGCAGGCACAGGCCGGGCCCGCTTCGGCTGAAGTTTCGCGACAATCGGTCCCACCCCGATCGCACTCCTCTGCTTCTTCTTCTTCTTCTTCTTTTTCTTCTTCTTCTTCTTCCCCTCCTCTCCGTTCGTCGGTTCGCACGAGTCGCCGCTGTTGCTTCGCGGGTTCGCCGGCGAGGAACCGGGGAGAGAACAAGAGAGATAGACGGAGAAGAAGGAAGAGAGAGAGAGAGAGAGAGAGAGAGAGAGAGAGAGAGAGAGAGAGAGAGAGAAAGAGAGAGAGAGAGGAGAGAGAGAGAGACCGAGAGGAACGTCTCGCAAGGTTCGTGAAGCGCCGTTTGAGGCGAGTGTTACGCGCAAAAACGTAAGATGTTGACCGGAACGAAGTCAGTAACACGTCAACGACACCACTAGCCGCCGCGGCGAACCAACTGACACTGACAACGGTCCGCGCGACTACTCGCGCGCACGCACCACCGCGCGCGTTTTCCCCACTCCCACGACGGGCGACTTCTCCCTACCGTGAGCTCAACCGAGCCGATCTCCCACCCGGGCGATCCCGGAGCGAACAGCAGCAGCAGCAGCACCAGCACCAGCCTGCTGTGTGTCTTCGTCGCCGCGCTGGATCGCGCTCTCCGTCGGCGACGGCGACGGCGACGGCGACGGCGACGGCCGAGCGCCCACACACACTCGGCCGCTCGCTCTCTCGCGGCGAGCAGCGCTGCTCCGCTTCATCCGAACCGATCTCGATGCGTTATGAGAGTCGGCGGCGAATCAGCCGCGTCCTGGACGCAGCCCTGGCCGACGAACACGCCGCTGCGCGATCCTCCTCGAGTAGGAAAGAGGTTACGCCCGCGAGTGGAACGAAGAGTCGAAAAGGCGAGCCTCTTCTTCGTCGCTTCAGCGCTCGCTGGGTTAAGGCTGCTGTGTTTCAGGCTTGTCTCGCCGCGAGATCGTCGACCGGCTGTGGGGTTGACGGGTTTCTACAAGAGCGTTTCTTCGGAGATCCCTTAAAGCCCGCATCGCACCACGGGTTGCAGATCAAGGATTGCGGATCGAAGATTAGGTTTCGACGACTTCAACGAACTTCGGTTTTGATTTGCTTCATTCCGATTGGTCAAATCTCGATATTCAATCCGCAATCCTTGATCTTCAATTCCGTAGTGTGACACGGGCTTAAGCCCGTATCAGACTATAGATTGAGATTGAGATTGGATTGAAATTTGGCCAATTGGAAGAAAGAAAATAATCTCAAATATAGTAAACTTAGCCCTGATTGGTTAAACTTCAATCCGATATACTCAATCCCAATCCGTAGTCTGATACGGGCTTTAGGTAGCCAGTTGTTGCAACTTATCGGTAGGTTAACTGATGGTTAAAAATCATCATATGTTTATCTTTGCTTTTCCTTCAAAAGTTAGACAAAGACCGACATGTGATTTAACCATCAGTTAACTTACCAAGGCGTTGGAACAACCCTCCCCCCCTTCCCCCTCCGGCCCTTATACCCGGCTACAGGTTGGGTTGCCGGTCTAAAGATTCTTTAGCCGAAATTCTTTTCCCGACGGCAACAATCGACGCGTCCGACGCGACTCGCTCGCGCGCCGTCACAAGTGGAATTATTAGACTGTAAGGCTCCCTGTTCTACTGCGTTCTACAACGCTTCGCTCCACTTCGGCCTACCGCCGAGCGTGCGCTTTGTCCTTCCTCGGTTTACCTTCTCTGACGCGCGCGCGAAATACGACGTAGAGACGTAGAGCTCAGAGCTCCGCTCTGGCACAATCGCCCGCGTCACCCGGATTTTCTTTCGCGCGCTCTCGCGTGGGATCGCGGATAGAGCCCGAAAGAGAGAGAGAGAGAGAGAGAGAGCAGGCTACTGCTACTACAACGACGACGACGACGACGACGACGGCGACGCTACTACCCAACGCAATTGCGCGATCGATCGTTGCCGAGCAGACGACTTCCGCAATTTTCCGGCCTTTCCCGCGCGTCGCGAAACCGTAGATCGGCTTCTTCATCTTTTGTTTGCCCCCCTCTCTCTCTTTCTCTCTCTCTCTCTGCTTTTCTCTGAAATCTCTAAGCCGCGCTTGAGGAACTCAACGCTCGTCGTCGACGGGATAATAAATCGCTTCGCGAGTCCCGGAGGACTTGCAAAAACGCAGAAACTCCGTGATATTATGTATTCCTCGCGCGATTTTTCTTCAATGGAAATTCATTTCCGTGGGCGCGAGCGCGCGCGCATGCACTCGTGTCGGATCGCGGTGTTGGTGTTAGCGGTGACGACGAGAGAACGAGCGACGAAGAACGAGCGTAATGATATTATCGAAGAGCAGCGCGCGGTTCTGACAGCTCTCTCGAGCTTTTTTGCTCGCTCGCTCGCTCGCTCGCTCGCTCGCTCGCTCGCGCGCGCGCGCGCGCGCTTTCACGGACGGTAATCAAACGGGACTGTGACGGCGTCATCGGCGCGTTACGATAACGCCGAGATACGAATCGCGGGGCATTATGCGCCGCGAGACAATGTTGCGACGTTCCTATCCCGGCTCTTCTTACGTAACAGCCGGATCAATTACTCCAGCCTATAAGTGGGACAACTTCGACTCGTTACGCGGCCTTGTTTGCGCTCTTTATCTTCGAAATTGTCGCGATCTCCCCGCAGTATTCTCTCTCTCTCTCTCTCTCTCTCTCTCTCTCTCTCTCTCTCTCTCTCTCTCTCTCTCTCTCTCCCTCTCCCTCTCTCTTTCTCTCTACCTTTTTTCGCAATTATTTCGCGATATCCCGTGTCCTCAGAAGACGCACGACATTAATAAATGCTACTCACTCACGCATTCGCATTCTCTCTCTCTCTCTCTCTCTCTCTCTCTCTCTCTCTCTCTCTCTCTCTCTCATTCTCTCTCATTCTCTCTCTCTCTCTCTCTCTCTCATTCTCTCTCATTCTCTCTCTCTCTCTCTCTCTCTCTCTCTCTCTCTCTCTCTCTCTCTCTCTCTCTCTCTCTCTCTCTCTCCCCCCCTGTTTATCGTTTTCTCGATTCGCGCACAGCCCGGCCGCAGTTTCGCGCTCGGAAGTGCGCGTTCGCGGACGATGTTTCCAACAGCTTGTAGAAACGACGAGCTATAAGACATCGATGTTAGGTAAGAACTTATAGCCACCTGTTTCCCGCAAGCTATAGACTAAATACGTCCTTCCGCGGGCTTCAAAGGGCTATCGTTCCACTTACTTATCGCACACTCTCCGTCGGATTTCCAGCGTCGGATTACCGCACGTGCGTTTTCCCTCAAACGACTACGTCGTCGCGGGGTGGTCGCGTGTAACACGGAAGAACACAAGCGCTCGACGTGTCGGAGCGCGCGAGTCGAGCGGGGCGGTATCACAGATACGATATTTACGTGTGTGCGCATCGCTCTGCGCGAGATCCTTCGCGAGAAAGGAAAGCGCCTCGTTACCTCCTTCGAGGAAAAAAGGGCGCGGTAAAAGTGCACGTTGCGCTCGTGAAATTTCTTATCTCCGCGAGGAGAGCTCGTCTGAGGTGGACTAATAACAATGCCAACGTCAACGGGGTCAATAATACGCCGCGAGATGATGCCCCCTCCCTCCCTCCCTCCCTCTCTCTCTCTCTCTCTTTCTCAAAGAATTGTCTGTTTCAATCTCGTAAGAAAAGTCCGCAATGAGCTGCGTGCAACGAGGCAATGAATGGCATGAATAAAACGTAAGAGTGCACACTTTGTGCGAACACGGATATTTGCTTTGATATTAAACTCGGGGCTCGGAACTTCGATATTAAAGTTACACCATTAAAAGCAGCGGCAGGAGAGGGAAGTAGGGTGGGGTGGGGAGGGGGGGTTGGCGCACACACGTACGTATGTACTTACATATCTCGGGGCTATAGAGTCTTACACTCTCCTACGCGTGAGACTTTTCAGCGTAAACACAATAAAGATATCAGCTTTAATGCGGAGCGGAGGAGGGTGGCAATCTCTGCAACGACGCGTAGTCTCGTTTGCTTTAATTAAGCCGTTATCTTGGCGCATCATCTGTCGCGGGATAAAGAGTCGACCGTTGTTAACCGCCGAGTCCAATCGCAAGACGGCGACGGCGCGGTCTTCGGCGTGGGACCGCGCGGGCCGCGACTCGCGATCGCCAGCCGGAACTCCAGATCCGCGCGCCGTGCGTGCAAAAACACTCAGCAATCTCCGATCACAATCGTCTTCGTTCATTCCTCTCCTTGCACGCGCGCGACTCGCGCGCGACGTGACTCACGCGGTTCTTTTAGCGGCGCGCAGCTGCTTTTAGCGGAGCGAGAAACGCACGCAGGGATTCAGAGGATCTATTCTGAGCGCTCACAACACGCCTTGCCGATTTCCTCCCAGGCTCGTGTGACCCTCGGGAACAATTCACGAGACTCGGCGAAAGGACATTTCTTCCTCGACGTCCGAGGGCGGTCCTCGGGAGCGGGGGGAGAAAGGAAGAGGAGGCCGCGCGGCGGAAGCGAATTGCGGTGGAACGATATCGCGGAGATTATTTGAATTTTGCCCGAGTGGCCGGCAAGCTTTGTCAACTTTCGCCGCGAGCGAGTGACGGAACGAACGTCGTCGTCGCTTCTTAGCGTCGCGTCGCGTCGCGTCGCGTCGCGTCGCGGATCGGATCGGATCGGACGGACGAGCGCGAGCTGGGAGCACTCGCGCGGGAAAAAGTCTCTCGCATTTTTAGGTCAAACAGTTATTGCAGGTTATTGACCCGGCATCGGATCGTTACTTTCACGTCATAGTGTTGGTCATAGTGCAGCTCTTAAATCGCAGTGGCGGTTAATCTATTCTCGGACGCGCTATACCGCCGTCGCTGCCGCCGTCGCCGATCTAACAATCCTGCCATTCATCGTTAGACCGAAGAATGTAAGGAAGCGGTGATACATTTTTTAGATGTCCACAGGTCGATGCGCGTTCCGCCTCGCCGCGAGAGTCGCTGTGCTATGAAAGAGCGGTCTGTAAAAAAGGATCCTCTCTCTCTCCCCCCCTCTCTCTCTCTCTCTCTCTCTCTCTCTCTCTCTCTCTCTCTCTCTCTCTCGTCGATTATCGATAATCGTCCGTCGCACCACCACGACAACGATGAAGAAGAAGAGGAGGAGGAGGAGGTGGGGAACGCGTCGAGCGCGAAAAACGCGCGCGAAGCTCGTCATATTTCACCAGAAGTTTCCTCGCGTAACACCTAACGGACGTTACCGTACGTACAACTTGAAGCCACCGTGCATAAACTCATTCCCTCTCCTGCCCCTTCCTCCAGACCTCTCTCTCTCTCTCTCTCTCTCTCTCTCTCTCTCTCCCCCCCTCTCTCTCTCTCTTCCTCGCTCGCGACCCGCTCGTGTCGGGTCTCGGCGCACGTATTCAATTTGTAATTTACACGACGCTGGCGCGCGAGATAGGATTACATCGGCGGCGGTGGCGGCGGCGGTAACTTTGCACCGCGGTTAATAAAGCTTTCAGGTAGCGAGTATTGTAACGGCGTCCGCGGGAAAGCAGCTTCGGTTTAAGTAGTGAGCTTTAACCTCGGTGGCTGAGCGCGGCGCGGTGCCGTGTCGTCGACGGCGGGCGATCTCGCCGGCGTTGCTCGCG